GCGTGATGTTCTGAAGTCCCACTGGCCCCTTCAAGCCGTCAATGTTCTCCATCCATGCCTGATTCAGGCGTTTCACTGCATCGTCATCTACCATCTCCACCTGCTGCTCCTCGTCCACCTCTTCCACAAGCATTCCTTCCTCTGGTTGTGGTTGATGTTGATGAGCCTCAGGTTGATCTCCTTCATCAGGTTGTAGTGGAGGTTGAGCCCCATGTTGGCCGCCTGCATGACCATCCAAGCTGTGATCCACGTCCTCCTCAGCCGTCTCTGCCTTTTCCTGCATGTTGACACGGTCCAACATTGGCAAAGGAACTGTGGCCACCAGGATGTACTTCCCCTTTCGTCGACGACCATCGTCCCTTCCGACCGGGTACGGTCCCACCAGGTCCATTGAAAGAACATAGGCTGAGCTGTCAGCATGCGACCTCCGATGTGGGCTGTCCACTCCTGCAAGCTCCATGCACCGACGGCAATCTCGTCGATATGGATGATGATGCGCCCTGACATGCTGCTTCCACTCCTCAACGTTCAGCTTGTGGATGCGCTGAGCCAGGCATTGACTTCGTTGATGAAGATAAGCCCTCAGCGCCTCTTTGAGTGCCATCACCAAACCAGGTGCCCAGCTCGCCCAGTCCCTTGAAGCCTCCATAGATTCCTGCAGCCCCTTGGGAAGCGGGTCCGTTCGCCGAGATGAATCTCTCAAGCCGTCCAACTGTTCCACTCCAGGCAGGTTCCCAAGGATCGTAGTTGGCTTCCGTCGGGCATGCCCCATCTGGGATTGATCGAAGCTCACCAACTTCAGGCCCCCCAGTCCGACCATCTCCTTCATCTCAGGGAAGTTCCAAAAGGACGGAAGGTTGTGTGCCGCCTCAGCTCCCAAGTAGGCCATTGGATCCTCTGGAGATTCCAATGCAAAAGCCGTGGGAAGCGATTGAAGCTCTGGGACCTGCATGCGTTTCTCCTCAGCCTTGATGAAGAGTCCAATCTGCTTGAAGAGCAGGGCTGTGTCAGAGTTGACCCGATGAAGGTCCCATGTTGAAAGACCTTCCAGGGAAAAGCGCCATCCATCTCGCCCCCTCAAAGGTGGCGGTCCCGGCTGGCGTTGCCTCAGCCTTGAGGTTGTGCGACAAGGCGGGCCACCCAGGATCGCGGCAATCTTTCCAGCACAGGCCAACTCCCAAATGAAGGCCCAAATCGATGCCTCATGTAGATCAACTCCTTGGAGAGTGTCAATGGTGAGGACAACATAGCCCTCCTGTTCAAGCTCAGCCCACTGCTTGAAGTTCCGACCAGAGAACAAGTGCAGGATGACTCCACGAGAGCGCCATAGCCTTCGTCGTCGATGACGGTTCCAAGGCAGGCTGGCGGCATGATCCCGCCATGAATCGCCCTGCCCCTTCATAAACTTCCAGACTGAAGATGGCACCTGTGGAAAGCGATTCGCCCACCAATTCAATTCATCCTCTCTGACTTCAACATCGTTCTGCTGCATCTTCCCCAAGTCGGCCAGCAAATCCAGACCCTCAGTTCGAGGCATCACAGGGCAACCACCCCTCAAGCTGCACTTCAATGGCCCCCGGGTTGGATGATGGATCACAATGCTATCTCGGCGCCAGGTGATCCTGTAATCCGCCGCCACCAGCCATGCCAAAGGGATGATAGGCTCCACCGGCCCCTTACTGAGCAAGGTCTGATGCTTGGGGTGCTTGTAGAGCACTGTTGACCCACAAGCCAGCTCCACCTTCGTGGCAATCAGGTCCGGTTCCTCCTCGGGCTTAGCCTGTCGAAGCCCATGAGTGGCACCTCCATCCAACAAGGCATACTCACCAGGCCCACCAAAGTTCCCTTCTCCCACGGACTTCATCCGCACGGCCTTCAAAGACCTGATGGACTTCAGGAGGCTTGTAGCTTCTCGCATCAGCTCTGCTGCCGCCTCTGTTGAAGGCTCACCCATCGGCTCCGTCGTGGTGGAGTCTCCACCTTGGGTCTCCTCCGAAGCTCCACCAGAGGCTGTGTTGGTCACCTCCTTGGGCTTCAGCTCATCTCCACCAGCCGTCTTCAACTTCTGAGAGTCCCCGGCGGAACCTTTCACAGCCGGCTTAGGCGTCGCCTTCACCTTGGAAACCTTCTTGGGTTGTAAGCCATCCCCCATCGGACCAGCCGATGGAGTTGAGGTAGAAGTCGAAGTAGATGAGGTTTTGGCAGTGCAGTCCTTTCGAAGATGCGCCGAGCTCCCACAATTGAAGCACCGACCTTTCATGTCCGACGTCTCGTGAAGGAACGTGCACTGTGCCCCACGTTTGCACCCTTCAGGGGTCTTCCAAAACTTGCATGGAGACTTCAAAGTAGTCCCTGTAGGCACACTCATCGTCGATGTTGGCACATCCAACCCGGCCATGGCCTTCAATGACGTGGCCCCCTGAGCACCAACCGTCGTGGCCTTCAAGCCAATCCCAAGGCTCAGCTCCTCCGCCTCAGACTGAAGGTACTCAGCGTACTGCTCGATGGATGGGGCCATAGGCCTGATGTCCACTCCAAGCTCCTGCCTCACCGAAGCTACTCGGTATGCCAACTGCGTGCCACCAAGCTTTCCCAACGCGTCTGCAAAGCGGTGCAAGACTCCACCCAAGATAACCGGATCCGGCAGCGCTAGATTCAACTCCAACGACCTACTCATCAATCTTCTCCACCTTCGAAGTCCACCCAGCAAGTCCGGTGTGCCAGCTGCCACCCTTGGCTCCGTGAGCTGTTTAAGGATGCTCACCCTCTCAGAGCTCCCACCCGGCTGGAAAATAGTCCACAGCCTGTACATGATGCCTGTCACCGTCATAGTCCGGCTGGCAATCAAGTCCTGCTTGATGAGCTCCGGGATGCACTTCAGCAGCATCGGCACCACCCTCTGCTCCAAGCGTAGGTGCGCCTCAGAGCGCTGGATCTCCAAAGGTCGAAGTCGGATCCTCTCCAAAGGAGTCGATGTGAGCCACCGGTCATAGAGGTTTGAAGCTTCCCTCAAGATTTCACTCCACCACCCACGAGCTGATCCAGCAACATCTCCAATCATTGGGGTGACCACCGTGATCCAGTCTCCAAATTGTAAGGCCGACTGCTCTGAACCTGGCTGTGGAAGTAGAGGAAGATCGGAGCCTCTCAGCTGCTCCATAGGCGATACAGCTCCTTGTTGTTGATCTGGTCCTCCAAGTCCAGGGGGTCTCACTACCGAGGTAGTTCCTGATGTGCCACCACCTCCAAAAGACGCCATAGGGCCTGAGGCATTCCAATCACCAGTGAATTGACCACCACCGTGTGGCCCAGCAGCGTACCCTTGTGAGTTCGCCGTTGATCCCATGCCCCCACAAAGTCCACCAGCATGAAGGCCACAGTAGGAAGCACCTGCTCTGCCATGAAGTCCAGGAGATTGGCCACCAGGAATTCCAGGTGAATGCACTGCCATCGGTGACACCGGTTGGCTCCAAGTGAGCCCACATCCTTGACCAACACCTTGTGCACCATGTTGATGTCCATCCAATCCAACTTGACCACGTTCAGCAAGATGAGAAGGTGCTAGATGTCCAGCGGGATGCATAGCCAGTGAAGGTGTAGTTGCCGACCCCTGCAAGGCTGGCATCGGAGGCACCGACCCTGTAGTCGCACCAGCTCCACTTGAGGCTGTGTGGTAGGACCGAATCTCCCCACCTTCACCTTCTTCTCCACGAAGTTTCTTCGCCTCTCTAACGAAGCTCTCTTCGGCCTCCTTCATGATGCGCAGTCTCAACTCCTCGACAGACTTTTCTGGGGACGGTTGAGACAACATCCCAATGGCCAAGGCCTGCACAGGACCTGAGCCATTCAGCGTCCCTTGGGCCTGCTCAGGACCCCCATGTAGAGCTCCTGCACCACGGGCCTGCCCAGGGCCTCCATGTAGAGCTCCAGCACCACAGGCCTGCACAGGGCCTCCATGTAGAGCTTCTGCGCCAAGGGCCTGCTCAAGGCCAGCACTACCGCGAGCAGCCTGCCCAGGGCTCGCACCAGAATGACCATGTCCAGCAACCCCATAGCCAGCAGGGCCAAACGTCACAGGTGCCCCGGCAAGAGGCGGCAAGGATTCTGGTCTTGCCACATCAGCGACCTGTTCCAGAACTGCAGCTCGCTGAACTCCAGCGCTCCAAAAGGCATTGACTCCAGGAGGCACTGCTATCACCCCAGCGCCACCTCGCTCTTGGCCAAACAGGCCAGTAGATGCCACCAGCAAGGACGTCCCATCACGGTGCACGAACCCTTGTTCCCGGCCAGCATCACTAGAAAGGTTCCGAGCCAGCTCCAAACCAGCTCCAGCAGCACTAGGTCCTCCATGAAGCCCTCGTTCAGCTGCCACGGCAGGGCGAATGTCATCATCTTCGTCCAGCCTTCGTCGAAACACCGTCTGAGCTTCATCCTGCCCAGACTCATGAAACAGCGGAGCAAGAAGGCCATCAGGTCCTAGAGGTTCTGCATCAAGTTGGAGTGAGGTCACATGCCCTTGTGGTCCTTCAGTTCCACCTTGTCCCCGACCTTCATCTCGTCGTGGCTCTGGCGTCGAAGCAGCCACGTTCCCCTCGGTCACCTTCAGTCGTCGGACCTCGGGCACTTGGGGAACTTCCAGCTTTGACCTCCTCTCCATCTCGATCAGCCTATCCAAGCGCTGATCTGCCGTCTCGTGGTGCTGCCGGCGCCTGCGCTCCATCACGGCACCGCGCACCCAAGCCAGTGAAGGCTTGGGCTCATAACCTGCGAAAGGCAGGTGCAAAAAGTCTGCCCTTTTCTTGAGCCATGTGCAAACGGTCATCCTTGTGCAGGGGCCATGCAATGAACGGTCGTCCAAAAAGCATGCCAGTCCTACAGTAGACAGCACTTCTTGATTTGTGCGTGTCATTCTTTGAAAACGGCACCACAGTTTCAATACCAAAATGGTCAAATTTTGGGGGAAAATGCAGACCACTTTCCGTCAGATGGCCTCTTGGCAGGATCAAAAGTCAGCCCCTAGGCTACTCCAACAGGACGTCATCAAGGCTCCGGTAGCTGTTTGATGGTTGCAACCTGTGGTAGCGAACCATATACATTTGTGTCTATATATATATATACACATCATTACTCGTAAATATCTGTTTTATATTTATATGTACGGGATTGATGTTAATGTCAAATGATCTATAAAGCTGCAATAACGTGGTAAACCCACTAAGAATAGGGATTCTTCAGCCCTAACATGGGATATTAGGGGGATTTAAGCAACAGCATATGGGAATAATCGGGGATCATGTGGTGCACCCAACAATCAATGAGTTTTTTCTTCATTAGACAGCACATGGAAAACTTGCGTAAATGGGGGCCAATGGGAGATGTTCTATCCGTTTTTGATGGAGCCCCAGACCCAGTTCATGGTGCTAAGTTACTTGATCCCTTTCACAATTAGAATCTGGCTTAGAATCTAGCTTAGAATCAGCCAATTCTTTTGGGGCTGCGTCAAATCTAGCTCTGATTTTGGTGCCATACTCTTGTGGCTTTGGGATCATCACCCATCGGCACCACCATGACCTGCACCCTGGGGCTCAGGAAATCCAGAACCTGCTCCAAAGCGACAATACAGTGGGATCCTCAGAGGGGTGCAGCCTCAGTGGGATACCAATTTTTTCGGGTCCCCGGGTTGGATCTCCAAGTCCAGTGCTGGAACTGCTGCAGGATGTTGCCTATCCAACGAGCCGATTGTTGTCGAATTTGGCCAAGATGCCACGGGCGCGCAGATTTTTTTCCCCGGGGGGGATGGCTTTTGGTGGGGAAGTGATGATCAAAGAAAAAGGGGCCAGACAGGATTGATGCAACCTGCCATGAAAAGAAACGACCCATTCAATGAACTGAATATCCATGAAGTATATTAATGATTAATGTATATGTACTGTACCACTTTTGTATCCATGTAGAATCAATCCCATACACACCCATGAGGTATCTGACACTAGTCCAGTATATTATTGATAAACACAATAAATATCTTGTACGTAGCCCTTGAATATCCATTCATATTTAGTCTCAGGCATACATATATATATATATATAATATGCATATCCATGAAATTTCTTACAATATGCCATGATATCCCCCTAACATGGTTGGTTTTATGTTGAGTCCTGCAATGGTTGGTGAAGGCTCATCCTCCAAAAGTTACACCTGATCCAAAAATCCACACATATCTCATACATATCCCTCAATTATCCATAGATATTCTAATATCAAACACACACACACACACATATATATATATATATGACTATACGTACATATATATATATATATATATATATGGCTATGTACACTATAGAATCTCATTGAACCCATTTTCCACATATTATATAATTACACATAGATTTTCAATATCCCTATAGATATTCTTCATCCCAATTACCGAAGCCAGGCAGCTGAGCACTTCGCCGCCCCGGGACTTCTGCCCACCATGATCGACAAGGCGTCGCACGTTGGGATGGGGAGATGCCTTCAGTGGTCACCAAAAGATGGGAAAGTGTTGGTGAAACCATGATTTCTCATGTTTTTTGGATGAAACTTGCTTTTCTAGTATGAAAGTTGACGGCCGTTTGCATTTCTATTTCTTTATGAAGATGCACCGGAAGTGACAAAAAACATCCATGAAACTGGACATGAGAAGCGAGAAAATGATTTTACAATGGGGAATTCTGGACAACTTGGGGGTCCTCCGCTAGATCCTGTGGATGCTGTATATATGTTGGTAACATACAACAGTTTTGAACACCCGACCTTAAACATCTTAAACCAGAGAAGCACATATACATCATATACATATTTCCGATGAATGCTCCGCCAAATCCCAGGGTAATTCAAACTGCGTTTTTGGTAGTCACACCGCACTGCAATGCTGAGAGGTACAGTCCGGCAGCCCAGCTCAAGCAGTAGAACTAGCCCAGGCCTGGAGCGAGGTGGAATTCCTCCTGGTCCTGGATTTGGGGCGAGAGAACTATGAACTACAGTAAAGTGGGATCGAACCAATATCCTGGGAAGATACGCGATGACAAACTCGTCCTTACCAGGGTGGGTTTGAACATGGGGAATTCCCCGCCAAGTTATCGTCAATTTGGGGATGATGATCAACCAGCACGGGTCAGTGCCAGGCGATCCACCTGGTCAGCGACAAAATTTACCTGGATGAGGAGCAAAAAGAGAGGGCCCCGACCTGAGCAGTGAAGGTGTGACACCGTACACCGCAGCTCAGCAGATCACTTACGCCCCAATAAGGGCAGCATGTTACCTCCAGGGGGATTCTTTTATCGTAAACCATCGATCATATGGATGAACTTGGAGCAGTCATACCTGCTGCATGCTGAAGGTCACACGGCAGCTACAGTTGGCCATCAATTATCTTGCGCCCTCCCACCGTGCGCGACCCCTGTTGGAAAAGGCACTTTGGGCGGTGGGATAGGACTCCCACAAGATGGAAAAAAAACGACCCGCCGTTTGTAGGTTGCTTGGTGCCCAAGTTTAGGTCGCCACAACTGAATGGTAAGGTCTGGAGTACCGAAATCACTGCGCCGCAGGCATTGCAAAAGCTGCGGCGGCAACTGGCATAAGCCGCTGGTGGATGTGTCCCTTGGGTTGTGTTGTTACGCCGCCCTTGAAACTTCCCCTCAGGCAAAGGGATCTGTATTTCCTCATTGGACAATTGGACAAAACGTCAGATCCATCAACATCAATTGCTGGTAAATTCCAGGGGCTGTTGATAGGCGTTCGGCCCCCTGTACCCAAAACATGGCTTGTCTCATCTCATGGATTCAAGACTCCCCAGCCAGCTGGGATGCCGTCGTTAGGTCGCAGTGCAGGACGCTGCAAGCTGGGGTGGTGCGACCTGCAGATGGACGTTGTGATTTTCTGTTTCTAGATCTTCATCTGGATGAACTTTGATTTTGCTTAAGATGGTTCCAATCATTCTAATAGCATACTTTGATTTAGGATAGCCTCTGGTAACCATAGATGGCAATGGACAATTCACCATTTATAGATGATTTTAACATTGAACCCTTCATTTATAGTGGATTTCCCAGCCAGCCATGTTTGATTCCTGAACGGTAACATTTTAGGTATTTCATCTGAATTGGCCCAGGGTGATCGCCACAGGATGATGCTGGTAGCAAATGGACCCTTTGGGACCTTGGAATTTGCGGCGATTGGCTCAGTGCTTCCCGCGCCCACCCAAGCGACCAGCCAGGGACCCACCCCGTGGAGGGGCCAATCTGGCCTCTCCTAGACCACCAAAAACCCACAGCTGGGACTGGAAGTCACTGAGCCGAATCCCACCTGTTGGACCGGATCGAAGCGAATCTGCAACGTCGCGACGCCGCGACGCCAATGACACCATCGTGCAGAGTGATGACGTGTCTTCACACTGTGCGGCAAAGTGGTGCTTGCAATCTCGCGGTGGAAATCGAGAGACCAGAGATGACCATGACCAGAGGTACCAAAGGTACCTTCATCCAATGAAGCTCAAGTTGCATGCCTTACACATGGCGTCTCAGTGTTTGAGGGGACGGGGCTATTCTTGTCTAGTGGAGAACTCCACTTCCTCGGGATAAGGCATACCATTTCCAAAGATGTGATTAAAGACAGACAATATCAGTGTATTATGGGTACGCAGAATCAGGTAAATACCTGCGAATAGCACACTTAGAGCAATCCACAAACCAGATAAACCAGACTCAACCTAGGATGCATATCTGTAAAGGGAAAGTTTGGTACACCAAGTGGTGGTTCGCGCAAATGAAAGCCGTACCGCAGCTTTTTTTCTTCAGGGTCCGGGATCTGATTTCAGCGAAAGACTGACGGCTGCGTTGAGTTTCCGGCAAAGATGCCGTTTTCTAGATGAACAGTTTGGGATAGAACATGATACAACAGCTTCAAAGGAAACGCCTTCCAGAAATCTCAATGATTTGATGGTGATGAAATTTCCTTCGCGTGGCGTTTGCGAGTCCCTATTCTTGACCTCACAAGAACTCGCGACTGTGCACAGCGTTAAAGAACGCGACTGCCGAAGCGGTGGCTGCTTCCGCAAGAGAAACTTTGCACCAAACTCGGACCGTTCGTCAGCAGCTCCGCAGCTTGGCCCCTTACCATCCAAGACATTCCAAGGCTTAAACTTGCACAGCAAGTTTCTGTTGCTGACAGCCAACAATCATGCCATCTGATGTACATGCACACGTACAGACGTGCTTTGTACACTTTGTGGAGCGAGATGGGAATCTTTTGAATCTGGTGCAGTCACCAACTTCGCCATTGGGCCATCGTTTATCTGATCCTATTTTCAGATTCTTGACCTTGCTCCACGACAATCAATTCGCGAGGGCAGCATCTCAACTCTAGAAATTGTTTCAGTCAAATTCCCCTGAATCAAGGAATACTCAGATCATACTCATATCAGCTCTTTGGAAACAAGCAAAATCTGAGCCTCATTTGGAATATGGAGTAATTAATTATGTCTTGAAAATAGCGACTTGGTACACTTGAAATTTGCTAGAATCCTGGACAGAGAGAACAGAAACAACATCCCAAAGAACACCAACCGTAACTTTTGACTTGATCTGCTGTCCCTTTGGTTTCACTGCATGTGGCAGTTTGGCGAGCTTTGGTCGAGTGTCGGATCCCCAAAAAACAACAATTTTCTCAGTCTGAATGTGCCCCATATCCTAAAGCTAGCAAACAAATTCAACATCGCATGTATGTGATATGATATGTATACATATATATATATAACTCAACACATATAATTACACCTACATTTTGATATGATGTGTGATGAGATGTATATGCACATTCCTGGATAGGTGCATCTATCTTTGCATGCAACCATTTACCTAGACATGGATACGTGCATATGTGTATATACATGTGTGCATATATTCATATGTAATGTAATGTAATGTAATGTAATGTAATGTAATGTATGCATGTATGCATGTATGCATGTATGCATGTATGCATGTATGCATGTATGGATGTATGGATGTATGGATGTATGGATGTATGGATGTATGGATGTATGGATGTATGGATGTATGGATGTATGGATGTATG